TCTTTGACTGATTAAATAATGGTTACACTGACTCACTGCTCCACCTTCTGGTACAAACTGGTATTACATGGAAGTACAGCCCAGCACCAGTTTAGCTTGAGTTTCTTTTTTCTGGACACAAAGTCACAGCGGTTGTTGTTGCCTCAGAAAAAAAGTTAGATTTGGGGAAAAAACCAAGAAGTTAAAATGAAATGTAAAAAAATTATGTTTCTATGCACATCTGCAGTTTAGAAACATGTCAGTTTGGTAATATAAAATAAAATGTATTCCTATAACTTCTATATCCTAAGAGAACAAAGATTAAAATGTAACAGGGATAACATTTTAGAATATTAAAATCCCTCAAAGGGAAAAAAACTTGATGTGCACATCTATACTTGCAACTTCCTAAATAACATCCAGGATTATTCACTGCAGGTCCAGAAATCTGAGCTACCTCATCAGATCCAAGTTTGACATCAGCTGACACTCTTTACAGGAGACTCCAGCTGAACTCTGTGGAGCCTGATCTCAAGGTTTTTAAGTCTGACCCTGAAACCAGAAGAGGAACTTTCTGTCTCTTCAGATCCATTGTGATCCAGTGATCACAGTCCTGCATGATCACGCTGATGTTTGCACAGAGCAGATAATGAAGTGAATGTTTTTGCACATTGGTAACAGTGAAACAGTTTATTAACAGCGTGGGCTCGTTTGTGTTTGGAGTATGAACTGAGATTCATGAAGCTCTTGTCACACTGGTCACAGCTGAAGTTCCCTTTAACGTGTGTACGTTCATGAAGGTTACGACAACTTGATTGTGAAAAGCTCTTGTCACAGTGTCTGCACTTGTATGGTTTCTCTCCTGTGTGGACTCGTTTATGCTTTCTAAGGTCACATGCAGTGGTGAAGCATGACCCACACTGGTCACAGAGGTGCTTTTTAACCCCACTGTGACAGAGTTCATGTATTTTTAATTCACTCGGTGTGGGGAAGCCTTTCCCACATTCTTTGCAGTAGTTCATTTTGTCTCCAGTGTGTCTCCGCTGATGTAATTTTAGGCACCGCTGCTGATTGAAAGTTTTTCCACAAAGGTCACAACGAAACGCTTTCCCACCACCACAGCGATGACAGGGTTGAGAACTGGATCCATCTGTGTCGCTCTGCTTCTAAACAAAGAAACAAACACAGTGTAAGTCGGGGAATTCCTTCAACATTTTTGCAAGAATTAATAAATAGCACATTAGAATTCATGAACTGCCCAGCACTGCCGTTTAATGCAGTATAATCCCTAACAGGCAAACAGTTTATTTTCTAGAATTTTTCAAAACAGTTTCCTGTTCGTCATTTCCTTGTTTTCTTTCTGTCCTGTCAATTGAGGTCAAAATAAATAAACGAGGAAAATACATACCTCACAGTAACTGCACTTGTAGAGTTTCTTTCTGGTGTGGATCTGTTGGTGTTTTTTCAGGAACCGTAGAGTTGTAAAAGCCTTATTACACAGGTCACATTTATAAGGTCTCTCCATAGTGTGTGTAAACAGGTGGTGGTGCAATTCTGTGTCTGTTGCGCACTTTTTGCCGCATTGATCACAGTAGTAATCACCATGTAGAGTGTGAGTGGGTAGTTGCATATTTTGGTATCCTAACTGGCTGAAAGTTTTTCCACACATGTCACAGTCCTCCACCTTAATTCCAGGGTGGGTAACTTGATACATCGTTGAGCTGCTACACTGAGTGAAAACTCTGCCGCACTGATCGCAGCTGAGCGCTTTAACTTTGCAGTGTATGAGTTGGTGTGTTTTTAAGTGTTCAGGCTTAGTAAAAGATTTTCCACACAAGTCACAGCTAAATTGTCTTTCTTCAGTGTGGATGAGTTGATGACATTTCAGGTTAGACTGCCCAATAAACTCCTTCCCACACTCGTCACAACTGTATGTTTCCTCCGCCTTATTTCTGTGAAGTTTGTCGGCCTCTTGAGAGCACTGACTTCTCTCTCCATGTTGGTCCTGCAGTGACGGAGAAACAGAGGCAGTGAGTGAAATGCAGTCCTCAAACAAACTGAACCTCCCTCCATTAACACTTTTGAAGATGCCAACTGCCACTAGAATTTTAGATGATTCCCTAAAATATTTAAATACAGAAACAGTGACTAGATCAAAAGAAACAGGACAATATGTCTGTGAAGGCTCTCAATCATCCAGGTCATCGTAGTCAAAGGAGCTTGCAAAGAAAAGCGTCTGGACTTCTTTAAGTTTCCTTGAAGACGTTTCACCTCTCATCCGAGAAGCTTCTTCAGTTCTAAGAGTAACTGGTGGAGAGTCCCAGATTTTAAGCCCTATGGGAGTGTTCCCGTGGACGCTGTATTGATACTCTATGTAATCACACCTTCACCAAAACCTTGGCTGGTTGTGACCCATGACCTTTTACGATTAGGTAGAGGATCAAAAGGGTGTCCATGGATCTGATTTCCCTTTTATCTAACATATATATATTCCACATGGCAGTACCTTTGTCTTCTTACATGAAGATAATAGAGTTATTTATTTGTCCGTCTAAAGCAGTGGTTCCCAAACTTTTTTTTGCTAGGCCCCCCCTTTGTTTGACAACACAAATCTTCACAAAAAAACCCCAAACAAACAAAAAAAAAAACAAAACACATCCTCCAACCACACACACCCATAGTTTGTTTTCAAACTTCATTCATGAATTTCTACAATGGCAGATAGTCAGATTAACAGTATTTTGTCTCTATCTTCAGGTTTTACACACTCACACATAAACACGCAGTTACTGTCCCTCCATGTAGAAAGGCAGAAGCGTCACTGTGTAATTATCTTACATGTAGTTGTTTTTTTCCTATGTAATAACATTCAACATAGTTATCAATACATTTTTCAAAAATGCCTCTCTGTGCAAAATGGGTTCAAAACATAAACAACTGTGGGATCCTGTTTGTCCGTGATTTGGACAGGGGGAACAATGATGAAAAAATATTGCCGTAAACAGTTTATTTTGCAACACCACTAAACAAACAATAGTGTAAAATGTTCTTGAAACTCTCAATTTACCTGTCATGAATGAAGACCAGTATAAACAACTAGCCTCTGAAATAATGGTAAAGGAGTTAGAAAATGCCATGAGAAACCTGAAAGCTAATAAATCGCCAGGAAGTCATGAGTTCACATCTGAATTCAACAGGGAGTGCAGAATTATTAGGCAAGTTGTATTTTTGAGGAATAATTTTATTATTGAACAACAACCATGTTCTCAATGAACACAAAAAAACTCATTAATATCAAAGCTGAATGTTTTTGGAAGTAGTTTCTAGTTTGTTTTTAGTTTTAGCTATTTTAGGGGGATATCTGTGTGTGCAGGTGACTATTACTGTGCATAATTATTAGGCAACTTAACAAAAAACAAATATATACCCATTTCAATTATTTATTTTTACCAGTGACACCAATATAACATCTCCACATTCACAAATATACATTTCTGACATTCAAAAACAAAACAAAAACAAATCAGCGACCAATATAGCCACCTTTCTTTGCAAGGACACTCAAAAGCCTGCCATCCATGGATTCTGTCAGTGTTTTGATGATACCAGCCCAAACCAGTACTCCACCTCCACCTTGCTGGCGTCTGAGTGGGACTGGAGCTCTCTGCCCTTTACCAATCCAGCCACGGGCCCATCCATCTGGCCCATCAAGACTCACTCTCATTTCATCAGTCCATAAAACCTTAGAAAAACCAGTCTTGAGATATTTCTTGGCCCAGTCTTGACGTTTCAGCTTGTGTGTCTTGTTCAGTGGTGGTCGTCTTTCAGCCTTTCTTACCTTGGCCATGTCTCTGAGTATTGCACACCTTGTGCTTTTGGGCACTCCAGTGATGTTGCAGCTCTGAAATATGGCCAAACTGGTGGCAAGTGGCATCTTGGCAGCTGCACGCTTGACTTTTCTCAGTTCATGGGCAGTTATTTTGCGCCTTGGTTTTTCCACACGCTTCTTGCGACCCTGTTGACTATTTTGAATGAAACGCTTGATTGTTCGATGATCACGCTTCAGAAGCTTTGCAATTTTGAGACTGCTGCATCCCTCTGCAAGATATCTCACTATTTTTGACTTTTCTGAGCCTGTCAAGTCCTTCTTTTGACCCATTTTGCCAAAGGAAAGGACGTTGCCTAATAATTATGCACACCTGATATAGGGTGTTGATGTCATTAGACCACACCCCTTCTCATTACAGAGATGCACATCACCTAATATGCTTAATTGGTAGTAGGCTTTCGAGCCTATACAGCTTGGAGTAAGACAACATGCATGAAGAGGATGATGTGGACAAAATACTCATTTGCCTAATAATTCTGCACTCCCTATAATCTAAGAATCATAAGACATTATTTTGCATTCTCTCAGCTCAACTTTCTTCATTGGCTTTCTTGAGCGTAGACATGCCATACACTTCTTCCTACTCTGCCCTATAATCTTCCTCTTACTTCTTTATTGTCCTTCCTCTGTCTTGTGTTTTTTACTTTTTCCTGAAACACTCTCTCACGTCTTTTCTAAACCTAAAAAGAGGAATTTGGATTGATCAACTGGCCTTGAATTTGCAATTTGACACCCCTTTTCTCAACCGAAGTCTGGCTTGTGTTGAAGCCTGATAAGTGCTGAAATATCTACTTTTTGAACCATTTGATAAACAGGTTCTGGCGATCGAGCTGGCTGGCCCGACTTTATCGAAAATTTAAGGAAGCGAACGGCGTGTCAAACTCCCACTAAGGGCTGAACCCCTGGGATTTGGAATGTTGATTGGGAGATCAGATGTTCTTCAAAAATAATAAAGCTATTATTAGTCAGCACGGAAAGTCGTGGAGAGGTGTACGCTATATTCAGTAACTACTCAGGAAATTAAGATTTCTCTGATTAGACATTGGTTACATCTCAGATAGGGCTAACCCGGAAAACATCCTTAACTGGGTGTCGCATTAATTTATTAATTGACAAACCAGATGGAGCACATCAATTGCCGTTGATGTTCTTCAGAATAACGGCTCATTTAGCACAAGAAGATATAACAACATCACTGTAATCAGCAAGTTATATGTGCAGAAGCTTTCCATGGTTTCACGTAGAAATGTGAGTAGACCTCCTCATGTGTTGGACTTTGTGAACGCTGGTACACATTTCATTATTAGCTGTCAGACACTTAAAGTAAGCATCTTATTCATCGTGATGCCCCTGCGCCAGCGCAATCTGTGATTTTGCCAGAACAACACACCCGTATAAGAACTTGATTAGTCTGTGTACCCATTCCATGCAAGTCCACCTGGGTTTGGCTTGGAAGATGATTACTGTTTAGCCTTGTCAGCAAGGACACAGTGCAATTCAAGTTCTTGAACGACGACACAGATTCACACACACACCCCATCACTGATTTATTATTTATTTTTTGCACACTTACTGAATTCCCCCTCTCCTTTCCAAACGCCTTCGATGCTTGTGCCCTACCGGGGAAGATGGCAGTCGACTGGACCAGCGCAGACATGCTGCAGGACTGGATGCGCTGTCTACACCGGCTCTCTCTCACCCTTTACCCGCCCCTGTTGCTTGTCTTGTGTTTCTATGGTGTGTTGATAGTCATGTGCTTTTTGTGCTGAGGTGTTTTTTCTGTTATCAAACTGTTCTCCCACTAGGAGCTCAGTCTGAGTGGAGTTTTTTTTCTCCCCCTCTTACCTCATGTTATGTATTTTCGTTGTTTTTTCCTATCAGCCTACCTTTCTGACGTGTCTTCCCAATGTGATGTTTGTGTAAAGTTGGTCAGAAGGTTCCTTTGTAAGTGCGCATGCGCCATTAGCGTGCTGCCTGCTGTAACCCTAATTTCCTTCGGGATTAATAAAGTATTCTGATTCTGATTCAATTGGGCACTTGAAAAGACACAAATCCCACCTACCTGGAAAGAAGCAATTATATCTCTCATACCGAAGAAGGCCAAGGATAAGAAAGAATGTGGGTCCTAAGGCCAATTTCTGTACTTTATGTAGCTTACTGTATCTATACATCCATTGTGACAAAACGAATGGAAAAAATACTACTAACCTGATACATAATGATCAAGCTGTCTTTATACATAAACGTCAAAGCCAGTGTAACGCAAGACGCACTTTACACATAATGAACTGAATACAACAACATGCAGTTTATTTAAAAACTTATACGGCATATGCTTTCCTATAAGTTACATGGCTGATTTTAACCCTGTATTGCCTAATCGAATCCTAGATAATTTGACTACTTAATTTCTTCCAGTTGCCTTTCTTTGCCCCACTATTTCCTGTACACTGTCTTTCCTTTGACCCATGTGTCCCACTTGTACTGACACTTCTTTTTCTTGCCTTTCTCAATTTTATGCCGATGACATCCAGCTGTGCACGTCTTTAAAGGCTCATCAGATAAATGAGCTTCTAGCCTAGTTGAGGGAATAGTGACGGGCTCTCCAGTAATTGCTTTGTTTTAAACTCTTGCAAGTCTGAGTGTAATGTCTTGTAAAGTAATGCACAGGAATGTGAGATGTGAGAACCACAATGAAAATGACATTACAGAAGAAAATTGTGTATTGGAAAATTTCTTATATTAAGAATTGTGGCTTTAATATAAAACTGATTAACAGAACATGTGTTTCATCTTTACAAGTCTTGTTGTTTTAATTTCAGTAATGCATGTAGGAACAAGGCTAAATCTGGTGCCAGTTATAATGCTAATCACACAGCAGCAGCTGATAAAGTCCACACAGTTTCTTCCTCACCTTTTGTGTTGAATCCATCGTGACTGAGCTGAGTCCAAGTGGCTGAAAATGTTCCTCTGCTGCTCAGCGGTGATCAGCTGGGACACAAAACAGATCTTTATTAGGATTCCACTAGAGCTGCAGGGATTCAAGTAACTTGTTCATAAAAAAATTTGCTTCCATGACTACTTTAACTCTGTGGCTCTCAGTTGTCGACATGTAAGCGCTTCGTTGCGGAAATTTAGTGCATTAAATTAAACAAGTCACACTGCTGGAGCGCTGTAAAAGCAGGATACTTCATTCACTGGCAGTCTCCTACATGCCTTCACTTCTGCTACATGCAGGGGTCGCGGGGTTAACATAAGGGCATAACATATGCATAGGACAAGGAAGAGCGTATGTTAGCATACAATGAAAAAATTCTTCTACAGTTTCGTGACTGTTTTACTCATATTTGTGACTAAATACAGACGATCAATGAAACAGATCTACTAGCACATGGTAATAAAATTTTACATTAAACCCACGCAGTCCCCACTTTTGAAATAAAGTTTGCAGATGAATTGTTAACTTGGTTTGATAGTGTTTAAATCAGGAGGCTTGCTGAAGGCTGACAACAGCAGCCCTACATTATATGACCGTGATGCCTTTGAACATCAGGGGTGAATCTAAAGGGGGGCTTGGGGTGCACTACACCACATTTGTTTCAGGACTTTAGTAGTGTTAGTATAATTGTATTAAATAATTACATATTAAAAAAAAGTAAAAATATACACTACTGGTCAGTAATTCCTACAAGTGTTTCAACTTTTCTGGATCATTTCCAGCCCCCTGTGTCTGCATAAAAGCAGTGTTGGAACACACTGTGGTACCATACCCCCATGAGCACCAGCTGAACAGTATTTTACTGCAGAAAGTAGTGTGTTACAACAAAAATTCCAAGAACAGGGAATCAACAATGGAAGAGAGACAGACCAAGATAAGACTTCAATCCTTGAGCTAAGATAAGTACTGCTGGGCCATGAAGCACCGCCATCATTCTCCTAGTTATTAATAATCTCTGGTTCTCTGTCACAGCATGTCTTTGTTATGTCTTTCTCAGTTCCTCACACCAACAGGTCTCTGCAGAAGGCTGCCCCTCTCTGAGCTTGGTTTGCTGGAGATTTCTTCTTGTTAAAAGGGAGTTTTTCCCTTTCCACTGTCACCAATGCACTTGCTCATAGGGGTCATCCGGTGTAGGGTCTTTATCTCATAATATAAAACACCTTGAGGCAACTGTTGTTGTGATTTGGTGCTACATAAATAAAATCAAATTGAACGGAACTTCTTCATTCAGCTGAAAATCTTCTGTAAACAAATTAAAATCAAACCCAACATTCAATCCACAACATGATTAAAAACATTCCTCTTCTCCCAAATCAAGAGCTGCACATTAACCACCACAATATATTTGTCTTATTATACTCTATGCTTTTAAATATTCTGCTCTCAGAGGAGGCGGATGCATCTTTCACCCTCTCCTTATCTTCCCTGCTGCTGCTTCTATATCCTTGTCTGGTCTCGTCTGACTCTAACCCTGAGAGCCTCTCATTCTTGCTCTTGTTCTCTAAAACCTAAAGAAGAAGAACTGTGGATTTGATCAACTGGTCCCTTAACGCAATTGACAATGTATTCTCGATGAGAAGCCTGGGTTCGGGAGAGCCCGAGTGTCCTGGAGGGACGTTCCCTGCCGCATACATGATGGACGGTTGGCAAGAGTAGCAGGACTGTCTATTGAGGACATTGAAGACATCTACCCGTTCAGAACCATGATAACAGGGCTCTTGCTGATTGGAGCTGGCTTGGCCCTGGTTTATCTGAAATGGAAGAAAGCGGTGACTGCTGTTCAAAACCCCACAAGGCTTGCCGCTTTGACCGGAAATGTGGGAAGAGCTGTGAGTGATCAGTCTGTTCTTACTGAACCCAAGATGGGAAAGAGCTTGGAGGAGCTGATGAATCTTAAACGGCAGATACACCTGAAGACCAGTGATGGACGCTAAGAACAACTGTAAAATTGATGCAGCCTGTTTGTTCTAAAACAACATATCCATCATTTGTCATGTGGCCACCCCACCACCCCCGACAGCGCCAGCTGAATGCTTGAAGGCCGAGGCTGACAATGCTTGAAGGTTGATGCCAACGAGAACAACAACAATTCTCCCATGAGATACGATAACGGGAACGAAATGACTCTCCTGCCCGATCCCTCAAGGCCACCCGCGTAGGCTGGGGACTGTTGATCGTCACCTAACAGGCGTAAGGACACTTTCTCAGGCTGAACTCAAGACACACATCCCGACACGCTCGCACACATTTACAATGATACTGATATGCCCTCACCATCACCCTCCCTTCCTCGAATCCAACACCTCCTCCCATCAGATGTGGACAGCGGCTCATCAGGACGTGCGGTCGCAAGATTGCAGCATCCCAGATGCAGCTGTGTACATTGGCATACCCCCCATGCTGCTTGTGTTGTGTTTCATAGTGTTATGGTGTGATGATATCTGTGCTTTTAAGTGCTGGAGTTTCTGTCTTCTCCTCATGTCGAGTCCTTTTGGGGAAGTAGTGGCAGAAATTCTTTTTTTCTCCTGATCTGCCCTTCTGTGTTACACATTTCATTATTTTTGCTACCTAGCCTGACCTGTCTCCCCAATATGAAGTTTGTGTATTGTATGAACGGTCGGCAAGGTTTGTCATCTCAGTTGCAGGAAACTGCAACCAGCAAACAAAGGCATCCATTCATCAATTAACATTGTTTGCTTTCATCTCTGTTTCGTTAGATTTTGGTAACATCTTCCTGTTCATCACTTTACAGCAGCCACATTCACTACAATGAGACTTTGTAGGAGTTCAGTTCCTCTCATGTGCTCATCCACAGCAGCTGGACATTAAACTTTATTGTAATCCCACAAAGGAAAAATTCAGTTGTTGCAGCGGCACAACGGAAAGGAAGGAAAGAGGAACTTGAGATGTATGAGAAAACAATAAAACAAAATACATGAATGATATACATGATGATACATGAAAATGAATGAAGAAGAAAAATTAGCTGTGTTTATGCAGGTGTTCAGCCTCATTAACAGCTGCTTTCTAAACAGGAAGCAAGTTCATGTGAGCTTTGGTCTCACTCTGAGAGTACACAGATCTGCCAGTAGGGTGGCCTAAAAGATGTTTCTACACTGCACATGATTTAGAGATACATAAATATTTCTATCCGGAGTACAAACCACTTCATGTCAAATCTAATGTTGTTAAGTGACTGTTGCAACAGTCTGTTGATTTACTCCTGAGGCTGACCTAACAGCACAGGCTTATTGTCTGAGAAAAGCTGCCGATGAGCCAAAAAAACCTTCAACTCTGAAAAGTCAGCAAAGAATAAGAGAGAGAGAGAGCTGGCATCAAGGTTAGAGACACTATCTCACAGGAACAAAAGAGAGAGAACACCAGAGGGATTTGCTGCTTATCTCTTTAGAAAACGGGTCCAGGGCCACATGTTCACCTGGAAAATAAAGTTATAGTGACCCTGATACTGCAGCAGATCGCTCTGACTTCCTGTTATCACTTAAATAGAAATGAGGCTGTAGAGGTTTGGTGCAGGCAGAGAAACAGCTGCAGGGACAATGAAAAGTCTTTTCTGCTCCAACTTCTCCCAGCATGCTGAGCTAATGGTTAGTTGGTGTTTTTCTCCAAACACTCTCTCACTCTTCTCTCAACGTGTTCACAATAAACTGTGAACAGACACCGAGGAGAGCAGCAGAAGACCTCATTCAGGAGCTAAACTCAACATGAACTGAACTCACAGTAAAGTTAGCTCGGTGCTTACCTTTAGATGAGCCCACAAACCGAGAGAAACTCCGCGATGAAGCTGCAACTCTTTCCAAACACAGGAAACAGATCAGGGAGCAGAGACCCACGTGGTTCACGCTGATCTCAGCTACGATCCAGGAGACAAGGGTGGGCAGATCGATGCAGATATCGATCAGGACGTTGGTAGTGGTTTATGATCGATACTTTAGTTCGTTTCTCTCCTCTAAGTTCACTACTTTACTCCCGTTTCATGAAAAAGCAGCTCTCTCTGCTCGACTCCTCTCCTACACACACACTTTGCTCCGCCCCCTTCTTCCTAATCTGCTTTGATTCGATGCTGTTTGGACACGTGACTCGAAAAAGAGGCCGAGCCTGTTTTTTTTTTTAAATGAACTTTATTTGTCAACAACAATATAAACATGTAAGGCACTATTATTTATCCATGCATCTAAATATAAACGGTTGAGCATTACAACAAGAGAAATAACAAAAGAAAGAAAGAAAAAGATGCAGAATGTGAGAACATAGACACAAACAGTGTGAACAGAAAGGGAAATCATGATCCACATCTCAGGTAGAGAGGAGGCCTCCTTTTAACATAAATAGAACTTATTGAATAGAAATATAAGTTTAGGGGCTGTCTTTTCATTTACGTGTTTCAGCGACTTACTCGAGAGTTTAAAATCATCCAGTCATCTGTTTACACATGGTTTAGCTTGAAATGTCTGCATTTGTGAATAAAACATTTCCCAGTAAGAAGACAGTCCCAATCACCAAGTCTAACTTTGGGTTCTCAGCAACCATCCCAAATTTAACTACAGTCAAATGTGGTAACTGAATTCCCCTGGACTGTAGCCAGCTCCACATGTCAGTCCTGTTGCTGTTCCTCCATATGATATTAAAATGAAGAATATTTATAGACTCAATTAGTTTTGGAGAGGCTGATAGATTAGTCTGGACAGACTGTATATTTAAGTTAGCAAGATTCTCCCAAACAGTGTTTTGTCCCTCTGCAGCCACCTGTTAAAACTGACTTACACTTTTCTATATTAGGACAGATATGCTTATTTTCTTATCTTATTGCTGCAAACGACACTGCCCAGATATCGCAGCTCCTTTTTAATCTGTATATTGCTGATTGACTGCAGGGGGCACTCATGCAGAACTAGTATCTCACATTTATTTATATTCAGCTGTAGGCCTGAAGCTTTGGAGAAGTGGTTGATCACCTGTAAGGCTGAAGGGAGC